CAAAACAGCCCTGAAGACCCCCATGGATGCAGCTTAGACTTGGATAGCTCCAGGTAGAAGCTAGCTTGTGTGACGTGTATATAGTCATAAAACAAATGAATACCAGTGTCATGTCGAAATCTATTTGCAGCCGACATACCTTTTCACAGCTGGATTCCCCTTTGGCCTATGAGGACTCAGCTTTGCTTTCGGTGAAGTGTGCAAGCCCGCAAGCGACGAACAAAACATGCATCCACAACAGGCGAAGGAGCAGAACGGGCTTTAATTGCCGGTCGGCCCCTTTGCAAGCGCCCGATAAAGAACTTTGAGCCTTGGTCCAACATCGTTTTTCGCTTCTTGCAAAACTCGTGAAATGCATGTCTGACTGCCTGCACTTGCCTCATACGAGTTTAACGGACAACTATCCTATGGTTGTCAATGGCTCCCAATACGGCAAACCCAATCTAGCGACTAACAAGGCTGTTAGGAGCTAATAGGCTTCCATGGCCTTCTTTTGGATGCCTTGTTTGCTTCCATGGTCCCTCTTTGAAGGGGGGGCTTAACAAGCATGGGAAACAAGGCTGATGCTTTCACAAATTACTTTAAGCCGTTGCTTGCTTGAGCATTTGTGTTGGAGGGGTCGTGGATGTTAGTCAAGCGAAGCAAAGGCATGAAACAGGCATAGGCAGCCTGCTGGGAAAATGGATGGTCCTGATAGATTATGAGACAACCAGGTCCAGCGGACCACCTAAAAAGGACACCTGTGGAGACAGGAAACGCGAAACCCGCGCTCGCTAAGCAAGCTCTGGGTGCGGTGCAAAAGTCGGCCCTCGCCGTCCTGCCCGGTTGCACAACGCAAGCCCAACCTTGGCTTCCCGAATACATACATGTGAACACTCATGTGTCAAAGCTATTTGGATGATGGATTCTGCAGGTTCTGAAGCCTGAGCAACATCAACATATTGATAACGGGCCAAAATGCAGGCCAACGCAACCATTCGTACACACAGAAACTTAAAACAATTGACAACAAATGCGTTGAATAGCATATCGCAGAGACTAAGCACGTCCAAAGGACCATGTGTTTTACCACTTGTGCATTGGGCAAGGCATGGCTCCATCCCGATCCCAAGCAATTAAGGGTTCACTTGTTACAAACGACAGTCGACAGCACGCCCAGATCAAAAGCGTCCTTGTCAGTAAGCTCCGACAGCCATTCCATCCTTGGCATCAGAATCTCTCGTCAGACGGCAGGTCAACTTAGGTTCTTGTTCGGCCAGCTGCGAACATTCGCTTTTGACCGCTGAAAGCACCCGAAGGATCAGGCAATTGCATTTTCATATACTGGTAACAACTGCATGCCATGCGCACCCATCCTCAAAAGCTCAGTGGAACAGCGAAACCCGCTCTCCCTTGCAACGACTCAGACAAGTGCTTGATGTTCGGTCAAAGAATTCTGCAGAATCAAGACTGACATGCGCAACATGGGGGCGCAACTGCTTTTACAAGCCTTGATCCACATTAAAATTGCTGTTTGTCACCAGTGCCACTTCATAGTAACAGCATTTGTCTATACAGTGGCCCATGGCTATGTGCGGGCTCCAGTCTGGTTATGTTCGTTTACCAACTCAGAAGCTTCTCGTTGGATCGAGGCTTTCACACTGACTGATGCGCCCTATGCCACAGCTGACTAGCGCCGATCCCTTGGAATCGAAATCGCCCCACCCTTTGCCACGAGGCCCTAGCTGACTATGGGTCATGTACGGCTCGGCCTATCGCGCTGAGCAAATCGCGCAAATATGCGCAAATATACAGCAAGCTCACACGCACAATACACAAACAAACAAACAAACAAACAAACAAACAAACAAATAAAGCAAGCAAGCAAACAAACAAACAATCAAACAAACAAACACACAAACAAACAAACAATCAATCAATCAAACAAACAAACAAGCAAACAAACAAACAAACAAGCAAGCAAACAAACAAGCAAGCAAACAAACAAATGAACGAACAAACAAACAACCAAACAAACAAACACACAGACAGACAAACAAACAAGCGACCAAGCAAGAAATAAAGCAAGCAAGCTTGCTTACAAGACTAAACTCAACGAACCCAAAGAACAAAGCCCATTGTAACCAACAACCAAAGAAGGGGTCAACCAACCAACCAACCAACCAACCAACCAACCAACCGACCGACTGACCGACCGACCCACCCACCGACCGACCGATGCAATCGACCAACCAAACAATGCAATCAACCAATCATCTCAATCAATCCATGCAAAGCAAGTCAAAACATTGAACAGCCAGATCACACCAAAAGCCAATCAAAACCAATCTGAATCAAGCAATGAATCAAGGAATGAAGGAATGAAGGAATGAAGGAATCAAGGAATGAAGGAATGAAGGAATAAAGGAATGAAGGAATGAAGGAATGAAGGAATGAAGGAATGAAGGAATGAAGGAATGAAGGAATGAAGGAATTAGTGAGTGAGCGAGTGAGTGAGTGAGTGAGTGAGTGAGTGAGTGAGTGTTTGAGTGAGTGAGTGAGTGAGTGAGTGAGAGAGTGAGTGAGTGAGAGTGAGTGAGTGAGTGAGTGAGTGAGGAAATGGATGAATGAATGAATGAATGAATGAATTAATGAAGGAAGGAAGGAAGGAAGGAAGGAAGGAATGAATGCATGAATGAGTGAATGAATGAATGAATGAATGAATGAATGAATGAATGAATGAATGAATGAATGAATGACAAAGCCCAACCAACCAAGCAACCAAGCAACCAAGCCACCAAGCAACCAAGCAACCAACCAACCAACCCACCCACCAACCCACCATCCCACCAACCCGCCAACCCGCCAACAATGAACCAAATCCATCCAAACAATCCAATCCAATCCAATCCAACCGAATAATAAATCAAACCCATGCAATCAATCCAACCAGTCATCCCAATCCAGTCTAACCCAACCCAACCCCGTCCAACCAAACAATTAACAGCAAATCGCCTCGAATCGCATTATCAATTTCTCTCTCACTGCCCGGTGAGCACTCTTGCATTCTCAGTCTGTGCTTTCGCATCTTTTGTCCCAGGGACCTAGGTAAGCCAGGACATCAAAGGTCAGTTCCTTCACCAGGCATGCCTAGTCATGGATCAAACTTGGACGCTTAAGATCAAAAGGTCGGCTTTCTGTGGAAGTTGATGGCTGAACATGTGGCATCTTGAGTTTGGGAAACCTATCGGCCCTATCAACATGAGGCCCTTTGCTTCCGTCGAAACACATCGCACTGCATACGGCATACGGCCAAAAAGCGCACGCCTGCATCAGGGCGACCCGAAACTCTTGCTGTGACGCCCGGCCACCTGCAACGAACAATGCTCTTTAGGGACCTCTTTGATATTCAAATGTTCCTGTTTTTTTTCCCACACGGTTACTTCATTATTGTGAATGCAATTCATTCCATTCAACAAACTTGAGCATCTTCGATCCATTTGCAGGCCCCGGCAACATCTCATCTGATTGGTGCTCGCCAAGTTAGCTGCAAAAGCGTTTGGCAAAGGTATCTTGTCTCTCTTCTTCTAGTGCTGCATTTGCAGGCAGGTCTCTTGCTTTGACCTCCCTCTTCTGCAAGTGCTGGTATCATGTTCGCATCTAACGCCCATGAGGACATGCTGCCTCCTTCCTCACGGCTTACCCACCGGTTGCTCTTGCGATACCGTGTCACACAAGCAAAGCAACCTAGGGATCTAGGTGGCAGATATGGGGTCTGGGAAACAAGTTAACAGGCAAATAATTAAGGCTAATTTCATCAGAAAAGCAAGCTCCAGCACAATCGCCTAGTGCCATTGAATCTCCAATTGACCGGCACGACAGCAACTGCTGATTCTACTACTTATGTGCAGGTCCAAAACCACTACAAGAAGCCTAAACGGAGTCACAACTAAACAACACAAACATGGCAAACTGGAAGCCTAAGCCACAGTTGGCTGTACAAATGGCAAAGTATCATATTCACTAGGGAGCAGGCAGGCGCTACCTCCTGACCGAACGTACACTGTGTAGAAGTGCCAAATGCCAAACACAAATGCTTGTTGACGTCCATTCCACGAGTAAGGCCAAGGGACGCATCGCACCCAAATCAAAGAACGACACACTTCCAGGTCGGGTTTTTGGAGGTCTTTGCAGCCCCGGATCCACTGGTGTCGGAGTTCTGGGGCCACAGCCCAAGCGTTGCAGAGCGGGAACCAAACGCTTGGGATCCTCAGCGCGCCGCCGAACAAATCACCTCTGCCGAGTGGGAGGCCCGTTGCCGTGTGGCTGACAAGGGAAATAAACAACAATGCAGATACAAAGGAGTAAAAGAGGCCCTCGGGAGGCTGTCAGCAGGTTCTGATGAAACGTCAGGGGGCGGGAAAGCACCGCAAAAAAACGTGGTCAACCAGGCCAAACACTGGTATGGGGCAGTGGGCGTGGCAGTTGTATCGGTTTTCACGATTTTGGAGCTCAAGCTCTGCCCTGTCTGCAGCGCCGCCAGGTCACCCCGCCCGACTAAGAGGCCTTTCTGGAAGGGGTTGAAACACATGCAAAGATTTCGGGCTAATGCACACCCGACGGTTCAGTGACATGTCTTATACAGTACAGTGATCAGTCTATCCTGTTAGCCCTTCATGTGTTGCACTACGTTGAAAACAACGTCTATGATCACAACCGGTTCAACCATTTTGCCGCACTGCATGCACAAGAGTTTGCAAATGGCTTCTAACAACGTACCTCTCTCCCCGGTATGCAGCGGTTCACTTGGAACAGCCAAGCATGCAAAAGTAACACTGCTGATGCTGAAGCACTAAACGATCCTTACATAGCCTCTCCACATGTCATGACAAGCTCATTGGCCCATAGCAAGGGCACTAGGAAGAGCCAGCTGCAAGTTGCCCAATGCTTTCGACTTTGACGCCTACAAAGCTGAAGGCTCAACGCCCCTTTCGGAGCTCGCTGCCGCGCTCGTCCTTTTTCCAGCCATGAGCACGCCGATCCGGCGCAAAGAGCGCCCAAGGCCAGTGCTTCAGGTTTACTTGTGCCTTGGCGCCGGAGGTACGGAATGCGGGAAACATGGCAAGTTGGATCAAGAGTGAGGGAGCGTCGAATGACCAAGGCCGCCGACCTGTCAAGTTTTTCACCTCACCTGAAGTCAGCCCAATTAGTGGAGGGTCCGCTATCTTATCAAATGAGCACTTTTCAGACTCTACCAATGGAAGCTGCCGAAGCAAAGTTTCACCCTGACCCCCCGGTGGCCATGTGACAAACGGCTCTTTTTTGGTGTAGTTTATCTTTGCGGTTTTGGGCGAACACGAAGTAGCCCAGGGAAGCAAATGAGCACAAAGTAGATCACGATGTACCCAAAGCACCCGGAAACACAACTCGGGTGAAGCTGTGGATGATGACCGGGTTGAGGAAGTGACGGTTGACAATGGAGAAGTATGGGGAGGTTAGAAATCAAGTTGAAGAGGATTAAGTTCAATACCAAGCCCAAGTAGAACAGCGCGACTCACCGAGCACCTCCTACACCCAGCCGCCCGCGGCCCCGACCCTTTTCGGCTCGAGGACGAAGAAAGCTGCCAGTGAATGGCGCACGAGCGTGAGTCCTATTCCCACTTGACGGGAGGTAAAAACTTGAGCCAAACGGCCGTTCGGCCGTTTTGACATATGAAGAAACAACACGTGAACAAAACACACCCCCCTCATCCGATATCTGGACAAGAGAAAGGATGCGAGACAGTTGAGTTCACGACGAAAGGGACCAACCAAAAATGCCGGTGTCAACTCAGAGGTGAGCCAACGGCAGCACCTGGGCCCCAGTTAAAATCCCGCCACCACCCCGAATTAGCGGGGCGACAGGATTATTTGACGAGTGGGCCACATGAGTGAACAGAGACATTATGGAGGAACCAGACGAAGATTCCTCTCGTGCCGTTCATGCATTGTCATGGGACAACAACATGCGGAGGGGGATCCTATCTGGATCACCGCGCCTCACTGCACGCCGCGAAGTGGTTGGAGTGGTAAACGAGTTGGGATCACAGAAGAGAAGGACGTTCCGAAATTGGTGTGAAAATACCCGGCTACGGCCGGCCCGGCACTTCTAGTGCGGTCTCAGCCTCACACAGGATCGCCAGGGGAACCGTCTCCGGCGCGCACGGCAGCGGTGCGGGAGGGACACGAGCAACGCCGGATCAGCGGTACAGGGCAATGGAGACCATCACCCCCAGCAGCGCCGCATAGGCGAGAGGAGGACCGGCGCGGTCGCGTTTCGGCGACACACGTACTATCCTCGCCCTTCTAAGGCGGATGCTGATTGCGGTACCCGCCTACCACCCTGAACCAGGTTCTTCCCGGTCCCTGGGCACGTCGTCTCTCCGGCGTCCACCACGGTCACCTCGATCACCTCCTCCATCCCGACGGCGATCCTCACCACCACCCCTATTGTGGTCAGCCGGAGGTCGGCGAGGCGGAGGGGGATCTGATTGGTGACGTCGGTCATCCCTGCGCCGGTCCCGGTGGCGATCGCGACGGTCATCACCCGGGTCATCACGTCCGCGGCGCTCATCTCGTCCCGGACCGCGCCTCTCGGAGGTCTCCTCATGACGTGGATGAGGTCGGCGATCATCGCGTCGGCCTCCGCGGGTATCCCTGCCACGATCATCCCTTTGTCGGGGCGGGCCAGGATCCTCGCGTCCACCTTTGCCAGGTCGATGTTTTCCTCGACCCTTCCCCTCACCCTTAGGACCGCGACGATCCTCGCGGGCCCCAAGCGCGGTCCTCGACCGATCGTCATCTCGGCGGGGCCGCGACTCATCTGCCGCACGAGTGGTCCGAGGCACACCCGGGGGAAGCTCCCACTCGTCGTTGTCGTCATCGCGCGGATCATAGCCGCCGCGGCCGCCCAAGGAACCGGTGGCATCCCGTGGTGGGGACGCAGGAGTTCCGGGACCGCCCGATCGAAGACGAACTCGGGGAGTCGCGTCCTCGCCGGTAAAAGGATCCTTCTGGGTGTAGAAACCCTTGGTCCTGCCCCTTCTCTCCCCACCTTCCACACCGCTTCTCGCGGGGACCGGGGAGGGACGGGCAGGCTGGGCCATGCTCTTAGAGCTGGGTTGCCCGCCAGGCGGGACCTGAACGCCCCCCTGCCCTTTTTCGGGCGCGGGGACCCGACCATGAGATGTCCTCCTGGCCTTGGGTTGGTCGGACTCACCCTCCAGCTCGGACTCGGTGTCAGGGACACGAGTATTGATGGCCGCGTCCTCGTCCTCAAAAGGATCCTCAGCCGTCGTAACGTCAGCCGCAATGGGAGCGGGAGGAGGAGGAGGAGGAGGAGTTGGTACAGCATCGCCAGGCTTGACGCCCGCATGCGACACCACGGGAGTCTCCGGTTCTACCGGGACAGGTGGCGCAGGAGGAGCCGGGGGCAGCGGCGGAGGGGGAGGGATTTCCTCCTCGTCATCGTCCATGGGCTCGTCAGGGTCGTCAGACTTCTCTTCCTCGCCGCACGAGGACCCATCCGATCCCAGCTCGTCCTCCGCAGATCCAGCAAAGTCGGGCTCGTCTTCATCCTTCACGCCGGGGCCTGGTGTAAGGCGTATCCCGGGCCGATAACGATCGCGAGGTCGGAAGCGGTACTTCCGGGGCGTAGGGTCGGACAGCTCCTGCTTGATATCATCCTGGGTTTGAGGACGGTCAGCCAGGCAGGTGTCGTAAGCAACGGTGGACGTCCGGTAGATCAGATCGTCCATACTGCTGAGGTCGTTGAGGGTGTAGACGTACCCCTTCTTAACGCCTTCCCGTATCTTGTCCATAGCCCGCTTGAGGCGCGCGGCAGGATCGAATCCGGCCCTTCTCCGCATGGCCTGCAATATCCCGCAGTGCTGAGCGAGCAGCCTCATCTGGAACTTGAATCCCTCCCCAGACATATCGTTGGGGAGTATCGGAGAAAGATGTCCTGATCTCAGCCCAATGATATGGGCCTCAAGAATGTAGTAGGACGTGTAAAAGCCGCACCGGTTGGCGTTGAAGTTTGCGGTGGTTAGGCGTCTGCCCCATTCAGCCGCATACCCTTCATACTCCTCGAAAAAGTCGGAGACGGAGCTCCCGTTGAAGGCAAGACCTCTTACCAAGATCGCCTTTGCAACCCAGTCTTCCACGTTGTGGTCGACCGTATCACGGTACTTCCCGTCAACAACCTCGTCCCGGAGCGAGTCGTGAAGCTTTCGGAAAATGCCATCCACGTCCTCTTTGTCGAGGTACTTAGGAGGCCGCATCCCAGACATCAACAAGGACCGGGCGTCGACGGCGGGACTCTGCGAGTAGAGGGCCATCCCGATGGCGTTGGCATCTGCGTTGTTCCACAGAGCGGGGACGAAGCCCTCGTACTTTGCCAGCCAGGGAGGGACCACCCCGTTGGTACTCGCTATCGTGCGAGGGCCGCCGTCCGTGTCTCCGGTGGGCAGGACGCCCTCATAGAAGATGGGAAGGTAGCAGGCGGTGCACAGGTGAGCGCCGACCGGGTGAGCCGTCATGCACCTATGGCATGGAACGGACACCACCTCGCGGACATGTTCCGCCTTGGCGATCTGGTGATACTTCTCCATTTCGTCCCGACATTTCCTCGGGTTATCTCTCACGGAGTTGAGGAAGTTGGGTGGATAGCACCAAGGCCTCAGGTAAATGATGGAGCAGTCCTCCTTGAAGTAAACGCATCTCCAGTATCCGATCGCGATGTTCTCGCGCGAGGCAAATGTACCCTGACGAGTAATATGCATGCCCCCATTTTCCATGGAGAAGAAACGTGCATCGATAGCCATGACCACATAACGGGGATCGCTCCTCTGGCGTCGACCCGAGGTGTGTAGCTCCGTCACGTTGCTGTCGGTGATGCGGTCGACAGTGTCGTTCGGGCACTCTCCGTGATCGCGGAGGGATTGATACTCATCCGGCCGAGAGGGAAGGAGCTCGATCAAAGCTCGCCCACCCCGAATGATCGCCCCACGTTCTACGTAGAGCCGATACATCCGGAGAGGCACCACCTTGTAGAGCGTCTTGGGAACCACCTTGGAAGTGATGGGAAGACAGACAGGGCTCTCGTAGAGCATGTATTGATACCGTTCACGAAATGCCCGGTAATCAGTGTCGGATCCAATCTCAAGTGACCTTACCGCCGCTATGCGTGCGGATCCAGGCAGCAACCAATGCTCCTTGTCACGAATGACGGTGATGATGATTTCGAACATTCCCACTCCGTCCTCGAGGAAGGAGGCCAGGAGATACGATGAAAAAGCTTCCTCGGATTCGACACTTGTGCCGAAGTAGTGGCTCAGGAACTTCTTCAGTTGTATCACCGAAGTGACGTTCCCTTGTCCGCTGGCGGACGAGGCCTCCAATTCTGGGTCCTTGACTGCACCTGCATTTCCAGGCTGCACCGCTGTCCCACGGAGAGCGTCGCGTATTTCCGCGCATGCTCTCCTGTAGTAGTGCGAAGAGGCGCCCGCCCTACCCTCCACCTTCTGACGGATCTCGTCGGTGAAGTAGTCCAGAAGCTCCTCGGGTGCGGGAACAATGGCCTGGATCATCAGGTCAGGGTCACTCCTGGTCGGGAGGATAGGTCCCGCTCTGGACCTCACTCCCATCTCCAGGAATTGGGAAATGTCCCCGATTTTGGCACACAGAGTGGCGATCGTGTTCCCGATCCTGGGGGCGATATCTTCGCCTCTCCTGGCGCCGAGGATGACCATATTTTTCTTGATGGACTCCGCCTTCAGCCTCTCGAGGTTCCTCCGGGTGTCATCAGTGCCCTTCACCGCGCTGAGGCGGAGAACCGCAGGCTCCGGCTTGTCCGGTCGCACGAGCTGGCCGTCGGGGATCTGGTCGAAAATGCGTGAAGCGGACTTCACTGCCGGGACATTCCGATACTGATCCGGCGCGCTGTAAAAGGCGTAGGCGAGAGTGTCACGGGAGGATGTCTCCCAATACGTGTACTCCTCGGAATCACGCGGGTCGCCGACGACGCGACTCACGGTCCTCAACTCGG